CCATAACATTTAAGTCAGGTTTCAATTTTAATTCTTCAAAACATTTAAGAATAGATTTTGTTCGTTCGGTGTAAGAATCATCTTGTTCTTTTTGTTTTCTCTTACGTTTTGCATTTTCTTTAGAAAATCTTTCTGATTGACGTTGTTCAACATCTCGATCCAAAGCAATTTGAGGATCAGAATATTTTTGCCGCCGAAGGTGGTCAAGATGTGAACGAAGGTAAAAAGTACAGTGCATTCCAAGGTCATACACGTAGGTCTTCCAAGGCTTTTTCAATTGAATAAGATTAAATTAAAAAAATATATATTAATTTATTATATTTATCATATAAATTAATTTATAAATTAAATAATAATTATTATGTAAGTTTATATAGTAATTATAAAGATTAAATACCCTGAGAACTTCGATTTCTTTTGGAGTTAACGAGAACGCAAATAACGCACTCTTATTGATAAGTTGCCTTACGACGCAGAACTTACACAAACGCACCTCCCACACAGGAATAGGATCACCGGGTTCAGCACAAATGGTGCATACCTGAGTCACGTAATATTTATATGACTCGACAAACTACAAAATTTACAAAATAAATTCATTAACACGATTCGCGTTATCAAAAAATAAAAACCGCAAAAATACAAGATATTTTATTTACCTGAATCTATTTGAAGAACGTGAGGAGTGTGAAGAATGTGAGGATTGTAAAGAGAGTGAGATGTGGAGAGTGTGAACAAGATAAAACAGATAAAACAGATAAAACAGAGAAAACAAGATAAAACAATAACACAAACCTTCCAGTCAGATACTTTATATTCTCTGAATTCTTTTTTTGCAAGAGTTTTTTGAATTTTTGGTAAAACCGGAGCATGGATCGCACGTTCTTGTTCGTCATTTTCTATCATCGAAGAAGCATCTACTGGACAATACATTGCCAATAACTTATAATACAAGAATCTATATGGACTGTGTTGCCCTCTTATGATGCGATAGAATGACTTTGATACCCTTTCCATGGCCGCAAGAGAAGGACCTAATAACCCAAAGTGAAAGTACAATTAAAATAATTGAAACTTGAACGCGTTTTTTTCAATGAATCTTAAAAGTAACATACCATCTTTTAATATTATTGACGAAATGGAGAGTTGTGTCACGACGTGTGAAATGTGTGAAATGGAGTAAGAGAATTCAAGAGAATGTGAAAAAGAGAATATAAAAGAATGA